TTAAACTTCTTTTTGATATACTTTAAAACAAAGAAATGTTATAGCTTTGTCTAGAATGACTTTCTCTTTGATTTATAAATTTCATGTTTGACATTGATTAATCTATTTGATTAGATCACTGAGTTAGAAACATGATCGTCTACATCATGAAAAAAAAAACAACTAATTTTTATTTTATTTTGGTTTTTGTTAGGTTCACAATTTGATATTCATACCGGTGGAATTGACTTAAAATTTCCTCATCATGATAACGAAATAGCTCAAGCTGAAGCTTATTATGACAGCGATACATGGGTGAATTATTTTCTACATAGTGGTCATTTAACAATAGCCGGTTGTAAAATGTCCAAATCATTGAAAAATTTCGTTACAATTCAACAAGCACTTGAAAAATATACGTCAAGACAAATTCGATTGTTATTTTTACTACATTCATGGGTGTCTACATTGGATTATAGTGATCATGGTATGGAAAAAACTTTGAATTATGAAAAAATGCTCAATGAATTTTTTCTCAATATTAAAACACATTTACGTTCAATGAAACAATTAAATCATTCAAATGCTTATACAAAATTTGATGAAAATGATCTACAATTAAATGAACGTTTTTCAACAGCTAAAAAACAAATTCATATTGCATTATGTGATTCTATCGATACACCAACAGTTATGGAAAATATTCGTCAATTAATAACAACAACAAATATTTATATGAACAGAACAAATGCAATTATTAATCGTCTTCTTTTACGTAATATTGCTGTTTATATAACACGTTTAATTGATATTTTTGGTTTAAATTCTTCTGGATCATCATCATCATCAACGGATAATATTGGATTTACACGATCAAGTGAACAACAACAAGCATCATCAATTAATGTAGAAGATATAGCTATGCCATATGTTGAACAATTTGCTCTATTTCGTGATGCTGTACGTACACAAGCAATTACAGTTAAAAATAAAGAAATTCTTACATTATGTGATCATGTACGAAATGAAATTTTACCAGAATTAGGTGTACGACTTGAAGATCACGGTACAAAATTGAATATTTGTTTTTATAATTAGTTCTTTCTTTTTTATCTTATAGCGGGTACAAATAAAGCAACAATAAAATTTTGTGATCCAGAAATATTAAGACGTGAACGTGAACAAGCATTATTAGTTGAAAAAAGTAAACAAGAAGAAAAAGAACGACGAAAATTAGAACAACAATTAGCTAAAGAAGCAAAAGAAGCTAAGAAAAAAGCACCTAAAGAAAAAAAAGTAAGATATATAAAATGTTTAATAATTTTTATCATATATGATATTTATTCTATTTTAGAATACTGATTCAAAAAATTCAACGCAACCAACTAATGATGAAATTGTTACTGATGGAGCAACAGCCATGGCTGATGGTGATGCTTCAAGTTCTCATTGATGCTTTTCTTTTTGTACTTTTATTTAATTTTAATCATCTTCATCTTCATCTTTTGTTGTTGTTATTGTTACATTGAGGGTTATTTTATTCTTATTTATTTATTATTCTCTATTTTTGTTATTCTGACAATGATCGAGGGGAACGAGGAAAAGAAGATGTGTTTTGTTTAAGCATTTGTTATTGTTCCGTAATAACACTAAACATCAAACATTTAAATATATAAGATATTATAATCCATTTTTTTTCTTTTACTCTCTTATGATAGATAAATACAATTAAAGAACAAAATTTGAATGATCATAGAATTGTTAAGGAATATTTTTGATTACGAATTATGGTAACAGATGGCATAAGAAATAACAATTATACTTTTACAAAAACAGTACACAAAATAGTATAAATAATAGAAACTGAAAGAATGTGAGTGTAGGTACATGAAAAGAAGGCTTACACACTACTCTTCTTTTCAAGGATTCTGAAATAAATGGCATTATTTTGATCAGATGAAATTATTATTATTATTATTTAAATTTTTCTTATCGATCAATTGGTTTTTGAAATAAGTACATTGTCTGCCACAGATACACTATCTATTACTCATAAACACTAACTCTCTATCATCCATGTTCCATTAAAGGGTTTAGTGATTAAATATATGTTTTTTTTTGGTAATCAAAAGACAGTTTTTCCATTAGATGCGTTGATGGATATAGAAGAACCATCAGTGTTTGTTAATATTGAATTAATTATTTGATATTAAGTAATTGATTACATTGTTGTTCCCGGAGACTAAATAGCATTATTTAGTAGTATATGTTAATATATCTATACACAATCGGTGATTATAAATAAATGATTCTAATGATAAATATCGGTGAACACATCATAACATACATATAAAATGGGAATGGGTCATTGACAGAGAATAGTCTTTAGACCATCACAAACAGATACCGTTTGTTATCGTGTTTTTTTTCAAAAGAGGCAGCATCTCACATCATCAAGAGACATCTTATCAACATAGAATCACTTGGCAAAAACAAAAAGATAAGTCAATGTACATTCTCTTGCGGCTTCTAATGAGTATGTGTAATGGTGTTAGCCGAAGGATCGAACAACGGCGGCGGCTCATACTATCATAAAATTTTCGTTCGTGGTGGCGGCGAAGCGGCTAAACTTGCTTTTTTACAGCGGTGACTGCTAAAAATTTCTTGAAATTGTCTATGATTTGATGGCTGTAGCGGCAGCTCAGCTGTATAGCTTACATCTCTAGGGATATGTCTCTTGAGACTGTTCGAATCGATTTCAATAAAAAAAAATGAATTATTTATGTTTCTAACTTACAATCAAACTTTATATTCGAATCATTTTGCTGACGTCAATCGTTGTATACTTGTCATTTGTCCATCATCAACATGTATCATAAATTGTTGTGGTGCAAAACTACTTAATCAAAAGTAAAACGATGTATACAACAATAATCGGATTCATTAAATCTATTGAATGATAAATATTTGCTTTATCTTTCATTCCATTCATGTCGCGAAGGTCGAGAAGATGTTGAAGATGGAGCACAATTCAACGCATCTGTCATCGAACAACAGCCAAAAAGATAGAACAAATCCATTGCCTTATTAATGATGACCTTCATATTACAATTGATGAATTTCAAACACAAACTAATCTGAATCATAGCACCGTTCAATGAGTAATCTTCGATCATCGTAAACTAAAAATGATTACGGCTAGTTCATCTTCAACATCTTTTTCGAGCTTCACAAAACTATTCCAATGTCATTTTTGAATTACTGTTCTAAGAAATGGATGGCGCAAACAAAAGATATATATAGTATAATGTGAAATTTATTGTAGAAGCGAAAGTTTTCTCCATCTAACAAAATCAGAAGTGAATAGCTTTGATTGAAATTTTTCTATTATCACATCAACTGAAGATCTGTGAAATATTATTGAATTCTATAGCACTGTTTGGACTAACAGTATATACAATAGATATCAAAATTATTCAACTATAGTAGATAATCTTATCTTAGACTCATCTGGTTTCCGTCAGATTACAACCTATACTTTCTAGTCTACTAGTAATAACTTTCAGAACAATCCATTAATCTGTTTAGTTTTTATTAACGATACAATCACAGCATGCCATTTTGTCATTCTTCCAAAAGTATCCAATCACTTTCGCTATAATACACAATTCAATAGAATACTTGCGCTCTACGTGATTTCTATAACGCTTAGCTAATTTTATTGTTCAATATGTCATTAGCAAGAGCAATACAAATTGTATCAAATATTCTATTTGAACAGATATTTCATGTTGAAAACTTGTTTTAGTCATCACCTATGTATACATTCAATCACGAATAAACGTTCTCGTACTGTCTTATTTACGCCTCGAAGAAGGTAATAGTTGTTTTGAACTGTGTGGAGTTATGGAGATTTTTTTTCCTGTAGGAAACTCTTATATTTGAAATCAAAACAAATATTATCATTTAAGTTATATATCTTTCTTACACTATGAATAGCAAGAGTAAAAAGCTTACAATAGTCCTATAGCAACAACCTAAGTACAATTCTCACTAAATATATAGGAAATTTTTACGCGTCATATCTTTATAGATAGAGGATGAAATTTAGAACAGCGCTGTATGTTAAATTTCATTTGATACATTCTTGTTTGGCGAGATACATATAAACTCTGTTGCTAAGATTGCAATAAGCTATTTTTACTTCTGCTATCTATAGTGTAACCAAGGCAAAGAGCTTAAGAGATATAATCGATTTTGATTTCAAATATAAGAGTTTCGTACAGAAAAAGATTTTCTACAAATTCATTACCTCCTTCAATACGTGAACAAGACAATACAAGAACGTCTATCTACGTATTTTCGGGCTCTCCATTCTTGAGATCATCGCAACGGGAAATAATAACTTTTGATGTGTGTGCCTAATAAGTAAAAAAGAAAAAGAAAAAGAAAACTCTCAAGGGACTACATAAATGGTGTGCTTTGCATCGCATTAATAATACAGTACGTATACGGCCACATTATGATGATTCGAAATGATTAACCTGAAATATTAGACAATGTTTAATTTTATTCATAATAGCTCAGCTTTAACAAGATGAATTTAACATATGTCTACCTTTCGAGACACAAGTCAATAGAACACATTTGAAAAGAACAAAGTAGAAACTGATAATAGAAATTTAACAAAACTCACTATAAAAATTCCAGTCGAGATGTCGTTAGTTGAAACGTAAGAAAAATTTATATTTGATTGGTTCTTTTTTACCTGCAATTAAATGATTAATCAATTGATTTTAAAGTAAAAATATATAGTCTCGTGCTTACCTGGTGTTATTTTGTTTGCTTTATAAATGACTAGTTATACAATACCGTTGCTATTACGTATGACAAATAATCAAAATAGTCGTACAAAAGAAAAAGGCGTTTTTTTTTTATTTGCTTCAAACTAAATTTTTACTGATACTGTATATAAATACAGAACATTTTCTTTGTTTTATTTTAGATAAAATAAGAAAAAAATGATTAATGATAATGATGATGATGTACCTTTATTAAATGATAATGATGATAATGAACAATTCATAACAGAAGAAGATAGTCAACCAAATGTTGAAGCAGTTTTTGTCGTTACTTTTGATGTTAAATATGGTAAAATTGATAATAAATTTTTCTTTTATTTATTTTTTTTGTCGATTTTATAAATATTCTAGGTAATATAATTGAATTTCAAATGCCAGAAAAAGAACATATGTTACTAAGTGGTGTGGAATATAAAGCAATACCAAGTGGATCCCATCATATTAATCAAGATTTTGTGTAAGAGTTAATCTTTCTATTTACAATTAACAGATTCTTTGAAATGAAAATACTTATGGGAGGATGGATACTAGTAAAAACTGCGGACACTCACAGTGACCTTGGTTTCAATTATAAAAAATAACGATCATTACCTTGATTTTTATTTGTAAACAATCAAAGTAATCATGTGTGTCTAAAGTTTCCACAGTTACTCATGGAGAATTTTTAAGAGTTTCAAAATATCATTTCTGTGGGTCCCATTCTATAAGTTTTTTCTTAAAGAGCATATCAGGCTAGTGTGCCTGGTAGAGTTCTTTTTTGTTAAATTCTTTCTTTTTATTCAATGAAAAAGGATGAGCAAGTTCAATACCTTGAAAAACTCTCAAAAAATGATCATCTATTTATAGAAGTGGTTTGTTAATATAATAATAATAAAGCTTAATTCAAAAAAATGGACTCTGACACATTAAAAAAAAAAGCATATTTTTCAATCAGAAGGTGATAGAAATTACCAAAAATTTTGGCAAAAAAACGAGTTGCCAAACAAAAAATCATGTCATTTATGAAAGATCACACGTCAGACTGTTTACCTCAATTTCAATTTTTCTGACGAAAGTTGACTTTTTTTTTTAAAGGAGAGCTTTTAACCGAAAGAGAATCATGAGAGTGAATCAATGATTCACTATGCTATGCAGAATAAAAATTTCAAATTCTAACATATTTTGACAATGTTAATATTTGTTTAGATATTTTCGTCATGAAAATAAATATGGATTGGCTTGTTTAGCTCGAGCAGATATTACAAATGATGATGATGGATCAGCTTTGTCAGTAATCGATCAATCACAGCGTGGTATGCGGATTAAATCTGTTGGTATTTTAACTTCATCTATTATACATATTCAATCATATCTTTCTCTTTTACAAACTGAAGCTAGGTTATTAATCTGTACATTCTCTTAATAAAAAAATGATTATCTAATCAATATTTAGAATTTATCTGAGTCAAGCATCAGCCAATTATGATGGTTTAAAACGACTTCTTATAAGACAGGAACAACCAATATCAGTTCCTGCTTCTATTTATGTAAGAATTTGCTAAAATTAAAGCACTTTATTCTAATGATAAAACATTTATCAAATGTGTTTAGTATGTATATCGCACTAGAAGATAATTGACATAACATATGTTGCAAAAGAGAAAGGTCATATCATTGATAGATATGATATTACTTTTAGTTAAAAGAACAAGTTTGTTTATAAAACAAATACAAGAATAGATTAAATTGATTCTCCAGATATTTATCGCTTAGTAGAAAGTCCTTGGAAGCGAAAAAAAAACCATTTTGAATTCTTTGTATTGATACACTCTTCAAATATTGACAAATTTATCTATTCATTAAAATTGAGTGAACCAACTGTAAAAAAGAAAAAGATGCAAATGTCTTCTGTGCGCTTTCTTCTTCTTCTTCTTCTTCTCAATGAAAAAAAATTATATGAAGTCATGATTTTATCAGTACGACAAAAAAAAGTTTTTTTTTTTTCTTTTTATAGGACTCTTTATTCGCTCAATTTATTCAACAATTTGGTGCATCTATCTTTCCACTTTCAAGGTTAATCCTGCTTGGCAAACGTATTTTATTTTACTCACGTTCACCTATTGGACCTCTTTGTAATGCAGGTAAATACTTTTCTTTTTTCTATTATTAAAAAAAAAGAAAATCTAAACCTCTTATATAGTTTATTTTACTCATATTATTAATCAATCGGTAAATCCACTTTTTTTAATCACTATTGCGGATTTATCAATGCTCAATAATGAACAATCTTATATTGGTTGTACAACAGAAAGAATTTTTAAAGAAAAAACACATATTTATGATGTATTTATTGATTGTGATAATCAAATTGTTTTCCATACAAATGATTCAATTTTACAGTCCATTGTTAAAATAACACGTCACGATTATAATCGCTTAAAAAAGACCTTGACGTAAGTTAAATCGTCTTAAAAATTGAAACAGAATGTATATATGTACTTTGTTCGATAACATAATCTTAATGTATTATTATTCATATTGGAATTTTCTTTGTTTCTTTTAGTTTGAATTCTTTTATTAATATTGGTAATCATTTATCTCGATTATTGAATCAATTATCTCAATCAAATGATAATAAACAAATGACTAAAGAAAATTTTCATTCTATTGATCTTCATCAACATTATGATCGTTTATTTCTTAATGAATATATTCGAATACATCATATTCCAAATGTGACTATACGTAATCCAAGCTCAATATTTTTTCCTGTTTCACCTTGTTGTTCTTGTTGTCTGGATTTCAATTGATTTTTAATTTTAGTTTGACGGAACAAAAAAAAAGAATTATATTTGATCTCAATTTAATTTTTCTTTTATTTTAATCATAATAATTAGTTGATGAAAAATGATTGACTCATGTAAGAATTAGATTTTTTGTTTAATGAAAAAATGAAGATTTTCTAAGAAAATATTCTATATATCCAGTATATATATATATATATATATACACATTAGATTTGACAACCTTATTTATTCTATTTCTCATTAACATCCAATGTCGCGTCAACAAAATCATTTGTTCTTTGTGCCTCATTATCGTTCCTATCTTACCATTAGTTGACAATATCTTTCACGCTTCTTTACATTCTGTCTATAGACACAAAGAAATAAGTCAATCTCTTAGAAGCTTACGCATGTCTTGAATACATGAAGGGGCGTGAGACGGCAGACATCCGTATGTAACTAAAGAATAGTAAACGATAACTATTCTTTCTTCTTTTTTTTTGTAGACAATCACTAGTAAATATGTACAAAACGTAGCTATAGTTCTTTTTTCTCTTCTTCTATTGAGTTTCATTGTTTTGTTGAGTACTGTAGACAAAGAACAGAATCTCTTGTATACTGTCATTGCATAAGCATTTTTCTCTGAATACAATAAAAAGAAAGAAAGAGAATAGATCATTTAATGACAATACCTCTAGAACTTTTTTTTTTGTCTATAGTTTGCTATGATACTGTTGATTTCTCTCTGATAATTGAGATAGACTGTTTATACATCTCCAAGAACATTCCTGTTTTTATCCTTCACTCGTCTATTTTTATATGTTTGTTGACATTCATTGTTTTACATCTAACAAAAGGAGAAAAAGAGTCCTTCTATAATCATAATAAATACAAGAGCTTTACTCTATAAACCATTTTTCTCGCGACATTTCGATAAAAAAAAAAATGAGAAGTACTTTATTTACTAGACAAGATATCATGACTATAAAAAAAAAATCTCCTACACTTATATATTCACGTGGTCAAATCTGGCGTTTTTTTCTCTCATATATTGTAGATGGTAAAGTAAAAACAAAGGCATAAGTAATAAAAACTTTTGTTCGAATATATCGAACATTATGTTGAATTCACAAGTAACAGAAATTTATCCTGATAATATTAATTCAACTTCATCAACATTACAATGTCGTATACAATATCTTGACGATGTCGACCCATTTTCAAGTGTCAATTTACCAGAACCAGCTCGACCTCCGTCCTTTACATTTTTGACATCAACTATTTTAAGCAATCAATTACAGAGTGTACATAAAGTTCTTAACGCACCCCATCAAGTAAATGAATAACTTCATAAGATAATATATTCGAAGAATTTCTTTTTTTTTTTTTTTATTGTTTATAGATTTCTGATTGTACACTTCAATTATGTCGACAAGATGGAACTAAAACTGAATTTGGACCATATCTTGAATTAGATCAAACATTAGATGAACAACGTGAAGATATTGAAAGTTTTACAGAAGGGTCAGTTTATTGTATTATTGATTGAAAAACATAATAATTATAATTAGTATTATTTTTTGTTTAAAGATATAAATGGTCAATTGTTCTTCGTACACAACTTAATGTTCGAGTTCAAGCTTGTATAGGTAAAATAGAAAAAAAAATAATTTTATTATTTTTTTCTTATAAAAAATTTTTATTTCTAGATAAATTACTGAATTCAGATGGACGTGAATTACGAAGATCATTATTTTCATTAAAACAAATTTTTCAAGTATAGAAATAAAAAAAAAAGAAAATTGATCGATTTTTTTATTAATGTTTTTTTTTTCTTTCAAGGATGATAAAGATCTTGTACATGAATTTGTTAATAACCAAGGTTTACAATGTTTAATTAAAATTGGTGGTGCAGCTGATCAAAATTATCAAAATTATATTTTACGAGGTAGAGAAAAAAAGTCTTTTATTTTTTATTAAATTATTAAGAAAAAATTTTTTTTCTTATTAAATAGCACTTGGTCAATTAATGTTATATGTTGATGGAATGAATGCTGTTATAAATCAAAATGAAGTTACTCAATGGCTTTATTCATTAGTAGAATCAAGTGTATGAAAATAAAAATTTCCTTTATTAATAGACGAGCAGAGGGATCGTTAAGTGATAAAATGGGTCCATTCGGAATTGAATTTATTATTTCTTAAATAGTCGACTCGGATATCAGAAGTTAATTGCTATTCAATTTAGATTTCATTCCGGTTGCGTACGGTTGACTGTAAACTCGATAGTATTTATTCTTCATGGATGCATATTATGCAATTTTTCTATGAACTTTTCCTTGCGTTTTCAGCGCTTGTAATTTAAATCATTAATCGCATGAAAGCTCTTTCTTTCCTCTACTAAATGGCATCTAGTAGTATAGCAAAATATTATTCTTTTCCTTTTACTATTAAGTGACCTTGTTCGCTTATATGTACAAGATGCGGACATATATGGCAAGGTTCCATCATTATTGCGCTTTTCAAGCAGCGATCTACTTTAAATTATATACTATCCGATAGACTTTTCAAAACTCTACAACATGATATTATTGTGTGGGGTTTAATTTGTAGGCAAGACATTTTAGTCAAATAGAAAATGTTCATGACTGCTAAAAGTTATCCTTTTTGACTGATATTTCAAAAATTTTTTTGAAATGTAGAAAGATTCAAAATGACAAATGAATAATGGCTGACTTTATTTTTCAACGTGAATCAAGGTTGAATTTTCGAACGGGAACAAAAATTGCCGGAGAATTTTGTCACATATATAGATTAACTCAGTTTTTTTTTCTGCTATTGCTGACAAATTAGTCTCAACGTCGTAGTATTATTTGGTAGAACTGTTTGTGAAATAATAAACTCAATTTCGAGAGAACGCAGAAGGGGAGGTCGATTTCATTGTTTAACAACTACTTTGTTTTCGAACTATTTTTCTTTGTTCTAGTTTCGACTTGTTGTAAAAACAAGTTTAAAACTTTTAATTGTATTTGCTGAATATACTGAATCGAATGTTGCATTAATCATATCAGCTGTAACACAAGTTGATCGATCAGCTAAACGTTTATTATGGTCAAATGCAATGAAAATATTAAATGAAATGGATAATTCATCATCAGAAGTTGTTTTATTAATTATTACATTATTTAATACAGTTTTATCAGCTATATCTGATCAAGATACGTTTTATGATATGACCGATGCATTAGAAGAACAAGGAATGCAACGATGTACACAATTTTTTCTAAATAGAAAACCAGCTGAAGCTGATCTTATTGAACAATTTCATATTTATGATGTATGTTCGAAGATTTCTAGTTCAATAATAATGATAACATAGATAGAGTCAAGTTATTTTGAATCTATGTAAATTTTTAAAGATTTTTCGAGATTAGTTTATATTGAGCCATACAAAAGTTTTTCTTTTTGTTCTATGTTATATACTGAAGAATATTCAAAGCAGATCGAATTGTATTTTAAAGATTTTTATTAAAAAAATTTAATAGTTGAATATTATTAAATACATTTACAATGTTTAACATTCTTTCATAATCATATGAAGAAAAAAAATCTATTTATAAACTTGACCTTCAATTAATTCTTTATGATAATAGATTAAAATTTTTTTTAATTTTAGGCTGCTCTTCGACGTGAAGATGGTGAAGATGATGCAACAATTGTTCAATCAATAAGGTATGTATTTATCTTGATTTTGTTAAGCAAATAGATCTGATTGTAATATAAATGAGAGTAAAAAAAAAAAACCAAGCGTACTTTTAAACATTAGATCTCCATCCTTATCCAATATCTATGAAAATCTTATCTGGAGGTAATTTTTGTTTCATAAGTTGTTTTTTTTTTGTTATTGTTATTCGTTTTACATCACACCTCGAAAGCTACAAGAATGATAAGAGAACCTTTTTTTTCTACACTCCTTGTAATTCAGCATGTTTATCTTTCCTAAACCTAATGTTCGCATGATTATTGCATTGTATATAGGTGTACACCACGTATAAAATCTACATTTGATCGTATATCATCACGTCGTTATTCATCTGTTGATTCAAATTGTTCATATGATAATCAGCAAGAATCTAGAATAATTTCTAATAATAATAATCAAGATATTTGTCAAAATCATTTGAATTTAACCGATTCAACATTGCCACAATATGATAATGTGATCATGTCATCGAATGAACAAGATGATTCAACCGTATCATTCAATGTTGATATAGATGATGATGATAATGATGAGTATGCTTATTTTATTTTACATTGCCGCTTTTCTTTTTTTTTTCTTCTTCTCTTCCTTTTCCTTGTACAATGTCAGCAGGTTTTTGTTTTGCTTGGATGCTTCTTCTTCTTCTTCTTCTTCTTCTTCTTTTCATCATTTATTGATTATTATCTTTCAGGCGAAAAACACGAGTTAAAAGTATGATTGATAATCGTCAAAGTATTCGACGAAGTTCATCGCATACATACCAACCTACGATTTCATCGTTTCAAAAAAAAGAACAAGAAATGTAAATAAATGAAATCTTTTTTTTTTTGTTTATTATTAAAATTCAAATTATTTAAATGAAAATGTAATTTAGATCAAAACCATTACCAGATAGTACGGTTCTTCGTCGAATGCAAAATCGATGGGAAACAGAAATTTTGCATCGTGAAGTACCTCGAACAACACGAATTGAACGTAATCGTGATCGTTGGGAAACAACAAATGATGATCAAATTCCATTATCTGATACAAATCAATCAACAATGCCTCAACAGAGTAAATAATCATTGTTTTAAGGGTACTCTGCCTGCCTTTCGTGACTCAAAATATTTGATTTTTTATGGCCATTCTATAATAAGTGACCAGAATCTTGTACACTTAGAAATTTTCTCTCGGTTTTTCTTCGAGAATAGTGAAATCATTTTTGAAAAGAATGAAAAATTAATTTTGAACGAAATTTATGGGCCGACACGTTTCCGATGAACATTTTTGTTCATTTTAGCCTGCTTAAGAAGGAGCCGAAAACTAAATGCCACAATCAGAATGTGAATATGAGCTTAGAAATTTTTTGTTCAAGAGTAGTAAGGAACGTTTCGAAAAACCTGAAAAATTATTTATAATGATGAGTTAATAGGTTATTATTTACTTTGAAAGTTTCTTTTTCGAATATAGTAAAAATTGTCGGAGTCGATCGTTTTGTAGAGTGAATACTTCTCTACAACATGTGATATTGAACTAAGTTGTAACTTTTACTTAAGCGTTTTTTAAAGAGCTGTTTTGAACGTAAAACGGTTATCGATTTTTTTCAAAAATAGAGACACCATGTCGAAAAATAAAAAAAATAATGCATTATATAGTGTAGCTTATGATCTACAAACTGATATATAAATAAACATGCCAACTTTTACTTTCGAATTCCAATAGTGAATAAATAAAATTGTACAAAATAATTTTTTGGATTTTTTAAAGATTATATCACTACTTTCGAACAAAAACTGCGATAAAATTTCTAAGTCCATATTCGAAAAGAGCACCAACTCATAGCTTTTGTGTCATCGAAAATACTTTTTAACGGTTCAAAGGTGGACAAACATCTTGTTGAAAAACTTTTCGATCGTCAGCGAGTCTGAAGTAATTAGTATCTATCTACTCAGTACATATTGAGATCTAATAATTGTCTTTAAACTTTAAAAAATTCGAGAAGAAATCAAATTTACTTAACGAAAATAATGAATTGCGTTTTTTTCAAATCAACTTTTTCATGAAAAAAAATATGGGAACGCTTTCGTTTCTTCGGTCTAGTATATGTGATCGAGCTGAAACTTTTTCTCACATATACTGTTCATTTGAAAAAATGTTGTTTTATTGGTAGCTCTTACAAAAGAAGCTCTATTTAAAAAAACAATGGATTTTTTAGGGTATCTTCGATACTTGTCTTTTTTTATTTGAAGGACAAAAAATAAAAAGTTACCTACTCCAAACAATGTATATGTAGTGTTTGTAAAAATAATTTTGAACTCAATCGAACATAGTATCTCAAAGAAACGGGAAGGGTGAGAAGACACTGTGATCCCAGTATCTCATAGAAGGCAGCATCTCGGAACTTTTTCTCTACTCATTAAGATCGATCTGTCCTAAAAATTTAAAACTTTTCTGATGAATCGTTCTTCCAGAAGGGAATGGAAGTACCCTTAAAGAGAAATATCGTTTTTCTTTTGTATATTTTATGAATTTTATTTCTTGTAGTAAAACCATTAACATCCGTTGATAGTCATATCGTTCCGTCCAGTTGTTTTACACGTTCGTCATGTAATATTGAGTCTATCTCACCTCCACCTTCTCATGCAAATGAAACACAAGTGTTTACACGAGCTGTATTTACTCATCAAAAAAATTCAAATAGTAACGGTACAGTTGAAACATTAGCACGTCAAATAGGTATATCAACAATGAATGGTAATGATACATCATTAACAAATGGTCAACCAACTGTATTTGTAAAAGATACTAAAGTAATACCATCATCTGAACTTATTGGTGCAGTTACAAGAGCAAAAGATGGTCAGTAGTTATGTTATATAGATTAAAAAATAAATTTTTAAATTGTAGGTTTACAAGCAGCAGTAACAGCTAAAACACCTCAAATTTCAGCAACATGTTTTGTTTTTCCTGGTCCATTACCTGATACATTAGTATCAAAACCTCTATCAGATAATGATCTTCAATGGGACTATGTTGTTAGCAAAGTATCAGATCGTAAATTACGTGTACAAGATCTGGATTTCGAAGAACTGGATGAACAAGATGATATAGGCATTATGACTATCGCTGCTAATCGAGGGGGACCACCTCCACCGCCACCAATGATGAATGGAAATGGATTTCCTCCTCCACCAATGACAGGATGTCCTCCTCCTCCTCCTCCTCCTCCACCACCACCACCACCACCGCCTCCTCCATCGATAGGATGCCCACCTCCACCTCCACTTCTACCACGAGGCATGGGACCTTCACCGTTAACCATAAGCAATGGTAATATAGGTGGAGACTCATCATCATCAAATAATAAATCAGTAAAAACTATACGTTTACATTGGCGTGACGCAGCTCCAAATACAATGTTAACAGCACCCGGATCAAATGATTCTCTTTGGACATCATTGAATAAAATAAAATTAGATACCGACAAATTAGCACACTTATTCGAATTGAAACAAGCTGAAGTTAAAGTAAAGGTAATCATACTAAACTAAAGATTGTTGTTATTATTGTCTTTTTGCGAATGTAAAGCTGGTAAACTTAAGAAACATTTGAGAAACAAACAAAAAAACTCTATTTAATATTTCGACATATTTAAATATTTCTTTCTTTCTTTCTTATCTTCTATAGGAAACAGTAAGTATATAGACACATACTATGTGTTTAATTGACAGCTTTGATTATGTTTATTTTTTCTTGATTAATGCTTTCGAAATTGGATAATAATTGTCGAAATGTCATTAATTGATATGTATTTGACATTGTCAAATCAATAAATTTCATTAGGTCACTCTTTCTCTTTTTTATTTCTCTTCATTGTTTGTAAATAACTAACATTGGGGGTAGCTCTCTTACAACAAAATTTGTTGTCTTTTCTGTGTGTGTGCTTTATATATTCGCTTCTTGTTGTGTTTTATTTTCTCCTTTTTGATAAAATTCTTTTGTTTTTTTTTAAAATAATAATATTGATTTAGAAAAATTAATATTTCATTTTATTCTATAGAAAACTGGTGATGTAAAAAAAGAAATAACTGTACTCGATCCAAAACGTTCAAATGCAATTAATATCGGTCTAACAGTTTTACCAACAGCTCGAACAATCAAAGCAGCTATTTTAAAAATGGATAGTAGTGTTATAAATAAAGAAGGCATTGAGGTAATTGAATTTTTTAGTTAAGAAAAAGAAACTTATCCTTCTTATGAAATGAAATTTCTACAGACTAAATTTTTGAATCAATATCTTAAAGAAGAAGTTCATTGAGAATGAAATCATATTTGCTAGATTTCGATCTTTTGTAATGATTCAATAACGAAAAAGTATTATGATTAGAAAATTTTTTAGATATTCACAGCTTAAGTATATCTATACATCATTTTGAATTATTGCTAAATTTCTACTATTATTAAAAGATCCGTACTATACCAATATTCAATATTTTTGGCATTAAAGATCTATCGTACTAGTTTTTTTAATTTCACTATTTAAATTCATTTTTGTTATGATCTATTAAATATCGTAGATAGTGCGTTTTAATAGCTACAAAAGTATGTCTACATGATTGATAAGTTTTAGTTTTAATAATGAGAAACAAAGTACAACACAATAAAGGAGAATAGAACAGCAATTAACATCAAAGTTAAATAATTCTATCGATACGAAAAAAATAATCCTTTTTAGATCCAAGGTTTTTTTCATACTGAGTAAATCAGTAGCTCTGTGATGTCACCAAAATTCAACTCGAAAGTGATTGTTATTGATAGCTTTTCTTACTTTCTTGAGAAGCAGAAGTAATATTACAAAAAAAAGACATAAGTTCCTTTTTGGACTAGAGATATGCAGAGTAGGATAAAGCTAGGGAGCTGCCGGTCCGAGTCCACAAAAACGTAGACTCGCAGCACTCTAGGTAAGGGCTAGAAAATTTCTCTCAGTCAGGATGCTAAATATGAAAAAGTCTTATCTTGCACATCTCTCTATTTTGGATCCTTCTGTACAATCGGTATTCATATTTGTTTAAAAGTATTAGATTCAATATGTTTTACTATTTAGAAATTATTAACAATGCTTCCAACAGAAGAAGAAAAAAATCGTATAATAGAAGCTCAAATGGCTAATAGTGATATACCATTAGGCAATGCTGAACATTTTTTATTAACAATTGGAGCTGTTGTTGAATTAGAAGCTCGTTTAAAATTATGGTTATTTAAACTTGATTTTGATAATATTGAATTGGTTAGACGAAAATTTTAATAGAATGATTATAGAAAAAAAAATGGATTTTTTGTTATAGGAAATTGCTGAACCATTAATGGATTTAAAAAATGGAATGAGAAATTTAAAAGAGAATATAACATTTCGACGTATACTTGAAATTCTTCTTGCTGTTGGTAATTTTCTTAATGGAGCTGAAGTAAATAAAATATGTTTACAGTTAAAATTTAATTTACTAAAAATTTTGACGTTTTTAGTCAATCGGTTTTCAACTTGATTATCTTGCTAAAGTTCCAGAAGTTAAAGATACTATTCAAAAACATTCATTATTATTTCATGTGTGCAATATTGTCGTTGAAAAATATCCTGATACAAGTGATTTCTATTCAGAAATTGGTGAAATAACACGATGTTCAAAAGTAATATAACGTCATATTTTTTTCGTATCTTTTTCTTATAATATAAAAAAAAATTATTTTAGATTGATTTTGATGAACTTGAACAAAAATTAAATAAACTTGAAAATGATTGTCGTGCAGCATTTGAATATTTAAGAGCTATTAGTAAACATGAAACATTACAAATAAAAACAAAGTATGTTGTTTAATTATTTATCAATAGAATTAATATCTTACTAATAAATCATATTATACATTTTGAATTTTAAATATAAATTTTATTTGAGAAAGAAGTGATCTTTTCTAAAAAAAAAAAAGACATGATATTTCCATCAAAGATCATTTTCAGAGTTGATGTTAAGATTCATGGTAAATTGTATTATATCACGTATGTATTTTATTATGCTTTTTATTTTTGTTCTACAAACACCGAAAAAAAAAAGATAAAATGATCAAATTTTGCTTCACAGTTAAAATCTAGCTTCTTGCTTTATTATTTTGTTATTCTTAATTAAACTTAGAATATTTTTTTTTTTGTGAATTTTAGACTGGCAGAATTTCTTACTGATTGTGCTGAACGTGTTTGTTTATTAAGAGTTATATATAATCGTGTATTAAATCGTTTTCGAAGATTTCTTCTTTGGCTTGGTTATCCTCTAAGTGCAATACAAGAAACAAAAATAACACAATTTTGTAAAATTCTTAGTGAATTTGCACTTGAATATCGAACAACACGTGAACGTATAACAACACAAAAACAGAAAAAACAAAATCGTGGTGAACGAAATAAAACAAGAGGCAAATTAATAACTGAGGTTTGAAACTTTATTTTTGTTTCTTTTGTAAAATTTCATATCAATTCTGTTTTTTTTATTATAGATTATTTCAGAAAAAGGCAATCCATTTAAAGATGTTCTATTGAATGGTTTTCGAACGGATGATGAATCTAGTTCTTGTTATCAATCAGTAAAAGAAAAAAATTCTTCATCAACTATTTCACATAATTACGATACAAAATCACCATCATCACCTTCTATCTCAGATAAAAATTCAAAACAACAATTAAATCAAAAAAATGTTCAACCAAATATGTTAAGTGATCTAGCAGCTGTAGTAAGAAGTACATCAAAAGATGGTCAAATTATGCCTGGTCATCGATTACGACAAAAACCATCTAGTATGTTTAATTTAGTTTTTCTGAGAGGAACCACAACATTCATTTTAACACCTAGTGTAAAAGCGCGGTATCTCTATCGCAATAAGTTAACAACACAAAATACTTTTCAGAATATTCATAGCTCATCTGAGTCTACATAATACACATAGTCTCGATCCAAAAGCGATTTATCAGTTATTTCGAAAGGTTTTTTTTTATTTTGATTTCAATTATCTTAGCAAATAATTTACAAAAATCATCCACATCAAATACATCAACAGTAAATGGAATACAATCGACTAAATCCAATGACACTGAAGGATTTGATACAAGTGATGAATTACTTGATACTCTTGTTAAAAATGCTGCGTTAACAACAACAAAAGATGTTATAAAACAACGTCGTATAGCTCGATATGCCCAACGTCAATCATGTATGTTCTTAAATAGATTTTTTTTTCTTAATTATATTTTATTTTAGTACGACGAACACTTCAAATAAATTTGAATGACGACGAGCAAGCTCAAGTATTTGGTGCTGGGAAAAACTAATCTATTTTATTATATTATTCATGTCATCTATGGACAACCTATCCTGCACCGGTGTTTTTTCAAGTTTTTTTTTTTTTTATGTATACATCCATCCACTTGTGTGTGTGTGTGTGTTTAATTTTAATAATATTCTGTTTTCTTTTTTGTTTGTGCCTGTCTTTCATATATCTAAGAAAATGAGAAGAATGATTTGTCCAACATCCTTTAATTGTACAAAATCGATCAGTTTCTGACAAAATAATCGTCACAATTATTCTGTTTTTATATGTTGTATTTAAAACAAAAAAAATATTTAAATTAAACACGAAAAGCTTAAATGTGATTTTGTAGATATGTTTGAAATGCAGGATTTATTGATATTATTGGATGAATATTAAAAAAGAATGGCAAATCATAGATGATATACAGAAAAAAAATAAATATTTGATAATCAATTAATTCAAAAAATTTTTTTTTTGGTTCGTAATCGAAATGAATTTAATAATACATTTGTTGAAGTGAATAGAATATGTATACGAACTCGAATGTTCTATATTTTATTGTATTTTATTTCTTTTTTGTTATTATTGTTTATTTTTTTTTTGTTTGATTCATTTTCTTTCAACTAAACTAAATTATTTTCTTTATGTATGTTTTGTTCTTCAGGTAAGGTATAACAATGAATATTATCAAAAGTACAAAAGTGTTATTTCTATACAAGGTAGAGTCCTATTTTGCTCTTGATCAAGGCTTTGCATGCAATAAGTTTTTAATTATAATTGTTAGTTTATGCAACGTTATGCATCATCACAAGCTTTAGCCGCTGATTTAAAAAATATTGTGGGAAATGATAATGTTGCAACTAGCACAGCTGTTCGAGAGCAACATAGCCATGATGAATCATATCATCCGTATGTTATATTATTTCTACGATATTTGTCATTTCACTATTACATTTATAGAGGTCATAAGCCTGATGTTGTTGTTTTTGCACAAAGTACAGATCATGTTTCAAAAATTGTTAAATATTGTGCATCTAAACGTGTTCCTGTTATACCATTTGGTAGTGGCACTGGAGTAGAAGGTAAAAGAAGATTCAATTCTAGTTTATCTTGCCTTGTACCTTTTCATATGTAGGTGGCGTCACTGCTCCTCAAGTGCGTAAACAACAAACATATTCTTTTAGAACAGAAAAGAAAATTGTATCGATTTCTTAGGGTGGTGTATGTCTTGATTTAAGTCGTATGGATAAAGTATTGTCAATAAATGCTGAAGATTTTGATTGTACAGTTCAAGCTGGTGTCACTCGAAATGCATTGAATACATATATTCGTGATACTGGTCTTCAATTTCCAATAGATCCTGGTGCAAATGCATCTCTTGGTGGTATGTGTGCAACAAGTGCATCAGGAACAATGGCTGTTCGATATGTGAATAGAATAGAATATTTGAAAGATTGATTCTTTTTCTTTTTTCGATGTATTAGGGTACAATGCGTGAAAATGTTATGAATTTAGAAGTTGTTTTAGCTGATGGTAGTATTATCAAAACAGCAGGACTCAAAGGACGAAGTCGAAAAACATCATCAGGTTATAATTTAACTAATTTATTTGTTGGTCAAGAAGGTACATTGGGTATTATTACTGAAGCAACACTTAAATTACATGCAATACCTGAAGCAGTATATTTTCAATTTTTAAATAATCTAAAACAAATATTTTCTATTTGATAATCCTAGGTTCTTGCTGCTGTTGCTCCATTCAAAGATTTACAAGGTGCAGTAAATGCTACAGTTGCTATTATGCAAAGTGGTTTACCTGTTGCACGAATAGAATTTCTTGATGAGAACATGGTTGATGCTTGTAATCGTTTTTCAAAACTGAATCTTGATATAGCACCAACATTATTTCTTGAATTTCATGGTAGTAATAGTAATATTGAAGCTCAAGGACAAATAGCAGGTAAGAAAAGAAACATTTTAATTTGGCAAGATTTTTAATAGATTGTATTTCGAGTTTATAGAAGAAACATGCAAATCATATGAATGTCTTCAATTTGCTTTTGCTACAGATGTCGATAAACGTGCCGAATTATGGAAGGCAAGACATAATGCATGGTATGCTGCTCAAGCTTTGAAACCAGGTTCAAAGGTATGTATATGTGAAAATAATAATATTTAAGTCTTATTTATCTATAACTTATGATCAATGGCAGATTGGTCTGCTTTTTGTTCATTTTATGCAAACATGATCATGGTTTTCTCATATTTAATGTATATCGAAAGAAAGAAAGGTGCGACACAACTCATAGGATACACTGCCAGGCAGCATGATACAGATATTTATAATTTGTTTGCTGATAAAAGTGAGTGGTACATGCAAAAAAATATAATGCCTTGTTCTTTTTTTTCTTTATGATAAATATCTCTTTGTGTTATTTCAAAATAGTTTTTACTATTTGTTTTTTGTATGTATGCAATGTTATAAGCCGTTAACTAAGTTTATTTTTCAGAAGAAAGTCTGTTTTTGTATGTCTAGAGTGTAATGAATGTGTAGAAGATTTTTCTTCAAACATAGTGTGGGAATCTGTCACTGGATTAACATATTTTTATATTGAAATGAGAATTTATTTTTTTTAAATAACATTGATTGTGATAATGAATGCAAATTAGTATAAATTTTAGTTCTTTTCTATTGATAGGGCTACAGTACTGATGTTTGCGTTCCAATTAGCGCTTTGTCCGGAATAGTCACATTTGCAAAAGATGAATTAAAACGATTGAATTTATTAGGGTATTATAAATGATATGTCATGTTTTTTTTGTGTCTCATGAAAATTTTAAGTTTTTTTTAAATAGGCCCATTGTTGGTCATGTTGGTGATGGAAATTTTCATGTATTTGTTATTGTCGATCCAACAAATCCGAAAGAAATTGAACTAGTTCATCAATATAGTATGGCCTTAGCCAAGTATGTTTGCGTATAACATTACTATCCTTTTGATTATCATTTTTTTTTTATTTCTAGAGAAGCATTACGTGTAAGTGGTACAGTAACCGGTGAACATGGTATAGGAGTTGGAAAGAAAAAATTATTAATTGACGAATTCGGAGCAGCAGGAATAAATACAATGAAAGCAATTAAACAAGCACTTGATCCAATGAATATTCTTAATCCTGGCAAAGTTTTATAATTTTTTTAATGAAAATTATAGACAGCAAAAAAGAACAAAATATCTTGTCATCATTTACATGGTACTTTTCTTTTTTAGTGGAAAATAAAATGCTCATATGCTTAAACTAAGTATGTCAATTCTCGATTTCGTACCTAAGCACGCAAACCATATCCTAAGTTCTTGTTTCTAGGCGTGGAACTAGAGACTGAAGCCTCTAGTTTTGCACCCGAAATTTGTAGTTTTCAAATATTCTAAAAGCTGGACTCGAATTTTGAGATCAAGATCTAGCACATCTGAAAGAACATAGTCAAAAACCTGTTATACACTGTTTTGCCTTAATAAAAACGTCAATGCCTTAGACATCTTGTTTAAAACATCACTAGCATTACACTATAAAGTTTCACTCTATCACCATTTTGTTCTAGTGCGTCCTGTTGATCCAAGAGTTATGAATAATAGGTTTTCGGTTATGCTCGTTCAAATGCACTAGATCTCGACCTCAAAACTTGAGTTCAGATTTTTCGGATCTCTGAAAAACCAGGAATTTTGGATCCAAAATTAGGAGTGTCAGTTTCCAGGAACTCATAGCAGTCTGCTATAGAAAAAGATTCGTGCGAATATTTAGATAGTTCCAAGCATTCGAAAATTCATTTAAAGTATTGTAAAATGTGTTCGCGTTCCTTGAAGAACAGAACTTCAAGGAACACAAACACTGACACCCGTAGTTACTTCGATCTCAACTATATCGAGTTGAATAAAAAATGAATTAAGATAAAATTTCAATGAAGGATTATCTTTTTGAAGTTTTTCTTTGTAATATCAATATTAAGATTTGTTGATGATTGTGTTGTTTGATGTTGAATGATTTTCAATAATGCATCTAGAATTGTTGTGAAATAAGATGTGATTGATTTGATGATACTTTATGGTAATAAGTGACCTTCATGTAAATCAAGTAAAAATCGAATATAATGTTTTTCAATCGAATTCATTGCAAATTCCTTTATATTATCTGTTTCATTGATTGACTCTGCGGAAAGTAGCTAATCTACATCATTTTCACTCGATCTAATATCTTCAAAAGTTTTCGATTCATTTTCATCTGATTTTTTTTTGTACAGCAATAAGTTTATCTTCCTCATCTTGGATAATATTTGCATTCGATAATAATAGTGAAGGCATTTTTTCATTGCAGAATAAATTGGTAGACCATAATCATTCAATAAATCCCAATAACATCAATTCAAATGACTATGGTAACTCTCAGAAATGGTATAAGCAGAGTTACAAGTAGAATTTAGTGTACAACAAATATTGAAAGGTGTATCATTTCGATGGATCGAACGACTATATTTATAAAGATTTACAAATACGGTAAAAGGGTTGATGATTTTGAGAAAGACAAAGAAAATAAAGCAAACACATTTTTACTTACCTTTGAATTTTCTGAGAATATTCGAATTTGACATAAATGTTGAGTAATACTTTTGCACAATACATCTGAAAACCTCAGATTTTAATGCTGTTAGTCAAGTTCTATAAAAAAAACCGTTATTTTCGAAGAACCGATCTTTCCTAATCGAAAGACTTGCAATAGAATAATAAACAGAAAAAATTTAAATTAATATTAATCTTTAAGTGACCCGTTAGGCATTATTATTAACGAATTTAGTGGCATCTATCGTCTGTTTTTTACTATTATTATTGGATAAATAAAGCTATTATAGATTTATGCTAATTAAATCGCATCCAAAGAACGATTTACCTTAATTCAAATGACATGAGCTACAACTATCTTTGTAAAAGAAGTTTAGCATAAAAAGAAGCGTGCGCGATAAAACTCTTCTAAACATTTGGAACCATTCTTTTATCTGGCATCGTTCTTTAAATTTTCTATAACCCTTAATTGTTAATTAATAAACGAAGGAAAGTTTACAAAATTCAGTATCTTTGCTAAATTCATAAATTATTCCGTATGACACTCTTTTTTAGACAGCAGTCTGGAAAATTGTTGATTAGAGGTCATTTTGTTAACATTTAGTCTATACTCGATCTTATATTTGTATTCAATTCGCGAAGCAAGAGACGAATCTCGTGTGAAGATATGTTCCCACATAGAAAACTAAGAAATCTTCCATCAATATATTGATACTCATCGACGTATGGAGTTATTGCATGATGATAAATATGATTATTATGGTTTGTACTGTCATTCTTCGGCGAAATACAAGTAATTTTCCATCCAAATCAGACTAATTCATTTAGTTTTTTCCTTTTGATGATGTCTTGTCAGAAGTAGGAAAAAAATCTCTTCTGCTTGTTCTGTATCTTTCTTTTGCGTAAAAAGTATTCTTGTTGTAAAACATTTTCTGTGTAAATACCGAAGAAGGTTGCAATGGCTTTATATGTTGATTTATTATCATTATCGGCGACTCCAAACAAACGATTCTGGAGAGGATAGAAGTGGTGATGTTGTTTCATTGTATAATCTATTTTGACAATTTTTAGCCAGTCAAAAATGAATCATACATCGAAATGCACACAACTTCATACAACAGTGTCGCGATCGGTAGGATTTTTTCTTTACCGGTACTGGTCTAAACCTCTCAATAAGGAGTGTCACTTTTCGATTGCATATTTAGGAACACAAACACATAGTGTGCTTGTGTTTCTAAGAATCAGGAATCCATAGCAGTCTACCACCAAAAAGACTCACAAGAATATTTTGATAGTTCAAAGCTTTCGAAAATTCATTTGAAGTATTGTAAAAATGTGTTCGTGTTTCTTGAAGACTAAAAATCCAAATAACACAAACATTGACACTTCTAGGTTAAACTAAAAAGTACTTCAATCGTACTTTTTCCGATTCGATTTGTTTTTATAGTTAATGTGATATGTTTTTTTTTGCGTATGATAATTACGTTTGTTTATTTCTGAAGCTTACGTGTTCGATTGTAAATACGTTATTTTTTTTCTCTTTTTCTTCTCATTGTTTTTTCTTTTGACTTTTTTCTCTTTCGTTCTTACAGTGGGAAAGTTTCTACTACGTAATTTAAATGGAATGATCTAATTCGCCTACGAACATTAAATTATTATACTACGTACTAGTTTAGGTCTCTATGAATATAAAATAAAAATATTCCTATCTTAAATATAAGTTATTACAGATTATTTTGAAACAATAAATAAATAACAAATTCAATGGCAACTACAATAAATTATGGTAAGAATATATAGAAAAATGAGTATATATTCATATTAGGCTTATTAGATCCTGACGAACATCTACATTCACCATCACCTGATGTAGCATACAAAGTTCTCCGTAAGTTTCTTATATATATATATATATATATATTGAACGGCAATATTATTTTATATGTGCCTTTTTTTTAGGTGAAGTTGGTTCACCAGATTTTTTGGATTTAAGTTCGTATTTATAATTTTAATTTTTCAAAAATTTTTATTTTTATTTTCTAATCGTAATTTTCAGATAATACTGATACTAAATCTGGTATATATCCATCTCACAATAGTAGTATTAGTTCCCCATCACAATCAATACCATATTCACCAAATTTATTTGTTGAACCTCTTGGAACAAATTTCAACAAAAATGAAATGATCGATTTTTCATTAATGACACAACCTTCTGAAAAACTTCGAGTTATAGCACAACCAAAAGCATTTTATCGTGAACGATACTGTAGTGAAACAGATCCAAGTAAAAATCGAGCACAACGTTTTATTCGTGCTGAGGACGATATTGGTCAACATGAATATCCAACTGTTGAAGTATGAAATTCCTATTATTTTTTTTTAAATCAATAATATATGTGATAGTTTTTGCTTGTTGAGATATTCAAAGGAGTATGAATCCAACTTATTTAAATCTTGTCAAATGATAATCACAACTAAGTTCGTTTTTATTCTCAGCAAATAGATAAAGATACATATTTGGATAATCAACAAAAGAGAGAAAAGTTTTATCAGATAGAGCAAGCGTGCGTATGCGCATCTCTTACGTGTAAAAATGTGTTTATTATTCGTGCTTCTTAGCAAGGAATAGTAGTAACTATGTCAATGTAACCCATCATAGATAATAGAAGAAGAAAAAAGGATACTTGTAATGGAAAGAGTTATAACACCAAGAAAATATAACGAATCTATTGCTTTATGTAAGTGCGTGAGGTGGTGAGGGGACAGCACTTCTCAGAAGATCATGTTGACCATTCTGGAGTTTCAAATTGTTCCTCCAGAAAAACAAAACTGAATAAAACATTGGTAATTGTCTGAAGCAAATTCATTTCCTTTCATCACACAATTTTTTCTAGTAAACCTCTACCCATAGTAGAAGACCCCAGATCTTCTGTTGTGTCTCTTTTATTTTCATAAGTTTTAATTAAAAGATTTTTCAAAAGTAGTCAAAATGATTTCGAGGATTTCGAATAGAGTTCGGCAGTTTCAAAGAACTTGGAACAGAGAATCGAATCGGAACCGACTTTTAAAATTTCTTAGGATCAAAACCGTTAAATCATCAGATAGATACAAAAAATCTTAAATCGATGTCGAGAAATCTTCATTTTTTATTCTTAAGATTAAAGATTTCAGTATATGTATATTAGATTGTTTTGTTTAAGTAGTGAAATATGCAACGTCTTTAATCTCAACAATTCAATAGCAAACATTTGTCAAAATAGATTTAAAACTTTCGTATCTATCTGATGGTTTAACGGCTCTTTACATTTCCTTTCATTCAAAAACTTACCACACTGTAAAAAATCAACTGTAGAAATAAGAAATCCTGCGAAAAAGAGTTTATTAGCCCCATTGAATTTTCATAAACCCTTGTACAGTCATGAAGATAATAGACCCAATTCGTAGGGTTTATTATTCTATGGGTTTGTTTTTTTACAGTGTAAACTTGCTTCTCTATATGAAATATATTTGTTAGGTTTTAATTCTGTAAAGATTGAACTAAAATTATATAATTTCTTTTTAATAGATTCCATTAAAAT